TGAAATGTTGGTCTCAAAATAGAATGCGTGTTGCTACAAACGAGAATATCATGGTGCAAGCCAGCGAAATACTGTCTCATTCATAAGATAAACCCATCCACCAGTCTGCACTGTGTCGGAGATATTCAGTAAATTAAAGAAATGCGGGAACAAAACATGAAACTATGAAATGTTTGAAGGGTGCCAACTTAATTACAGAGGACGAATTAGTTATTTAGATGGGGCACACAAATATATATAACTTTATTTCCTGTTCTTGTTGCATGCTATGTAAATTCATAATAAATATACAAATATAAATATTACTTCGTTTTTCTTAACCGAGCTTCCACCTTATTTTGTGCCACATTTAGAAACAGAGAATGCCCCTTTAGATCCACGTCCTGTCTGTTTGTAATATGGCATACAGGTGATCATTCACCACTTTTAACGATACACTAGTCAACCACAGTTCATTCAAATTTATTCCACTGAAACATAAGTATTTAGTGAGGAATATTATTTTTAAAAATATCACCCGTCAGAAGTCCCTCAAGATTTTTGCACTAATGCAATTGATTCTCAACACTTTCCATTATGTGCAGTAACATGGCCATAGATATGACATTAATTTTATCAAATATACCTAAATACACACACCTTTCAATCCGTTCATGAATTTTTACAGTTTAAAAAGGACTCATGATCGTTTAGGGTTTGTCGTGTTTAAATAATCTGTTGAAGAGCACTGGATTTAGTGTAACATTTTAATATTTTCATTATATACCTTTAGAAAATTAATTTACATTTTAAATTGTACTCATTTGTATGTTTTGTATATTATCATTTATTAAGAAGTCTGTAGTCAGTCTGACCAACTTTTGGATCCATGGAATGGATGTCTGTGTGTGTCTGTATATATGCATGTTTGTGCATGAATGTGCATGCAGCATGTGTGTATAAAAAGATGACATGAAAATTTGAATACTCGTAGACTTCCATGAAAAGATTTGAAGTTCTGAGACAAAATGTAATGCAGCAAAGAAGAGAGAAATTTCAGATCCACAAATACAGAAACTAAGGCTCCAACGTATAATTTTACGCTACACTAGACACACGTACTGCACAGAATGATACACTTGAGACAGAACAAGAAAATACATACTGTAATGACAGTGTCGAAGTTCTCTGATGTTAAATGCACGACGTCACTCTCGACTGCCGACCAGTCCTCGTCCTTCGGTTTCTCTGGAGGTTTACTTGGATTCTTCATGAAACCAACTAGACCATTCCTGTTGTTTTCCCCTTCATACAAAAACTTCAAGTTCCCATTTCTGCATAACAAAATACAATTTGAAAAATTGGAAACTGAAAGGACCATGCAGATGGGCTGTAACTGCAATGATGAATAATTTCTGCCATTAATTTCTGACTGAAAGTTATTCTAAGAACTAAGATATCTGCAAACAGACTTTGACTCTGAAGCACCTCTAAACCCACACATTATACACTGTGTCCATACTTGGATACTTTAAGTTATAACCAACTGTATTCAAGATAAGTAAAAGTGAAAATTCATTCACATCTACATTCAGTACTCTATAAATGTAAAGTTTACAGAAATGTTGCAAAATTTTTCACCTGAAATAAAAGAAATTCTAATATAAAACTTACTCGAAGTACAGCATTATGGGAAATCCTGTAATGTTGAAATGCTGTCTAACGATGACATTCTCTGGTCTGTTCGCATCAATGGCTGCCAAAACAGAATGACCCTTCAGTTCTGTAGCAGCAAGAGCAAACTCGGGTTTCAACTGCTTGCAGAATCCACACCATGGGGCATAAAACAGAACTAGAATGGGCCGCACCTCCTTTCGCAGGAATTTAGCCAAATTCTGCAACAAAGTACGTACAATAATCAATACTACGCTGAATAAACCATTTAAAAGAGATGCATAACTCAAGGAGTCCAGCAAGCAGAAGAAACCTGTATACATTATATAACAATTCTGTTAGAGTTTATTCCTCCAAACTCGGAGCCTGTTTATATTCTCACAGAATTTAGAAATGCCCATTGGCAGTATCCCAATAAGTGAATAAAAAATTATAAGTAAAAGTACTCCTACAGAGCCTTTTAAAAACTGCTGAAGTGTGTAATAAGTGTGGGTTTAAATATCAGCTAAAAAGGTTAACATAATAACATTCTTTTACTTGTAAGTACTATTATACTGAAATCATGCATAATTTTATGTATAATATTTACAATTTTACATGAAGCATGCAAATATTTTAATCAAATAAATATACAGAATGTCCCAAAAAGATTCATACACACATTTAATGAATGAAATAAAGATATTTTAAACAAAGTAAACCACTACATATGTCAGCATCAGCACTTAATGAATTAGCAAACCAAGTGTAGGTGTTCAAAATAGCCACCATCAGCTTTGTGGCAGAGTTGACAGTGGCAAGCAACTGACAGACAAGCGGCCACCAAAGTTTCTGCTGGGACAGCTGTGCAAGACCATTCTACTTCTTCCAGAGGTTATTGAAGTGTTGCTGGCTTTGTGCTGTACACCTCGTCCTTCAACCCCAACATCACAATGTTTATGTGGGGGTGCCCATCTTGTTGATAGCACGTTTTCATTTCCATACAGTTGATGAACAGTTGGAACAATTCCGTATTATAATGTGTACACATCTTTTTGGAACACTCTGCATGAGTAGTAATGCACAGTTACTGTTAATTACAGCATGTGGTACACATAGTTACCATTAAGCTTTAAAGGGTTGACAAGACATTTATACAGCTTTCATTTTAATGAAAGGTCCAAATATAGCAGGTGTCATTTAGGCTGATTTTAATGATTGGTTATGACAGCACTTAATACGTAAGATTTGAGGTTTTCACAGCGGTGAGTATGAAGATTTCTGTCTTCTGGGTCGTTGCGCTGTGTAGTCTGGTCGATGTTAACCAACGTTTCAGAGGTCATACTGCCTCCGTCATCAGGGCGATGAATATGCCCTATTGGTTAACATCGACCATATTACACAGCACAACAACCCAGAAGACAGAAATCTTCAACACTTAATACATTTGATCTAAGATTAAATACAGCAATATGTAAATCATTGTACCACAACAGTTAAAGAGCTTTTTGGTACATTTCTGCATCTGAACTGGATTGGTAGTGGTAACTTTGATCCTGAGTGTGATGAAGTCAGGAGCAGTCATGAAACAACCATACCCTAAGAAAAACACGTGAAAATATGATAATGGGAACTAAAATGTAGCTATGCTTTTCACACAATTTCCTGAGTGTGATGAAGTCAGGAGCAGTCATGAAACAACCATACCCTAAGAAAAACACGTGAAAATATGATAATGGGAACTAAAATGTAGCTATGCTTTTCACACAATTATGGCCATAAGTAAAAATGCAATAAGCTATTACTGGATACCTGTTACTCTGAAAGTTAACAGCCATTACTAAAGCTCAAACCAAAACCCATACTGACAAAATGGCTTGGTGTGCATCCCAAGCGCTTCATTATACTCGTGTGATATGGAGAAACATCAGTGACAACTGGTATTTGTAAGGTGACGGGTGTCAAAATGTATTACATTTGCAGCATTAAAATATCTACCAACAGTTCTCAGTTTCCCTGTTTAACAGAATGTCCAATCATCTTCCTTTGTGCAAAAAGCATTGTTTCCATTTATACCCCACAATGGACACCATTTATATGGTAGCCAAGCCCATCAAACGTCAACGGACGAAACAAACTTTCTTTTGAAACAATGGCATCTCGATATACATACAGAACCTGAATTGAATATTTCTTTATAATGATCATAATGTTACTAATGATAAAGAGTGTTATTAAGAGTGGAAGAAACATAAGTTACGATTATGATTAGTGTTTGAAGGGATACGAAAGGAAGCAGTCATTACATGTAGGAGGGACTGAGGAAGAATATACAATGAATTAAGATGGTCAGATAAACAGTCCAAATTTTATGGAAGGCACCATAACTTCTTCCCAGAATTTCAGTTCTATTTGTGTTTTAGTACATTTATTTCTAAACCTGTAACAAACCACTATAATAATATGGCAACTCTCTGAGCCGAAAGCTTACCAAAGCATCTGGTATGTGGACAACATCCACAGCTGTGCCGTCTTCCTCCCATGGTACATCCCCTGTAGGGTCACGCATAAAATTCACCATTGACTGCACTGTCTCCAAACGGTCATAGTCTTTGTGAAAATCTCCATCTTTATAATGCTTCAACAAAAATGGCTCTGGAGACACTTTCAGCTTCTTGCACAACTTCTTTGCTTCCCTGACAGAGTTAGAAACAGCAGTACGCTTGCAGTGAAATCAAAGTAAGATATATAATATTATATGGTTAACTAGTTTAATTATACAGAATGGGGCAATGTTCATTCACCACTATTAAAAATACACTAGTAGACCACAGTAAATGAAAG